AAAACTTCTAAACTTTTTTAGCAAACATTTCTCATTTCTATACATTATTTTTGTACACAATTTCTCTTTACTGCCATTTATTTCTTACTTAAAACCTCTTAACTAACGAATACTTCTCTCTTAGACTTTATTCGCAAATGTTTTATGTTTTTCATGTGCAGTTAACCCACTCTTAGTGTCTATGCTTTCAGTCGCACTAACAATGCATTTGCCATACAATGCATACAATCATAACAAATGACAATTAATCGACAATTAATTAAATATAATGCAAACAAACAGCTGTTTACTAATATCGCAATGAAATCAAGTGTTAAACCATTGATAGTTACATAAAATGAATACTATTTGCTGTGAGAGCTATGTATGGATGAGTAAAATGTGATACAAATCGCGACTTAATTGTAATGTTTTGCGCGACTATTGGCCACAAATTGTATGATTTGTTTGGAAATCAGTATTAAATATAAATTGCATTTTCATTGTCAAGACATATGTGTTGTGAATGTGAAGTGAAATACCCATTGATTTGACGTTTGCTTTGGTTATCGGGTTTTGGACGCCAAAAATGAGTCAACTTTTGGCCACAAATCATAAGACGACGAAAAAGTGGTCCAAAAGACACACAAATCGGAAGCAATTGATCCGTAATAACGGTACGAATGCCGGACACGAGACCGTCGAGGAAGAGCTCGTCGATGACGGTGTGGTCGCTGAGGAGGCGCTCAAAGAGACCATTAATGGTATTCACGTGAATCATAACAGCAATGGTGTGAACATCGGGGCCTTTAATATCGACACCAATACCGTTATAATCCCCCATAACTTCTTCGGTAATCGCTTTGATTATCACTTTCTCATTGCTTTCACCACTGATTGTCTGATTGTGTGTTTTGTTTGCTTAAAGACCCCATTGTTTTGCCCATTATTTGGTCCCAATTTGTATTCATTTGTCTCTTAAGCCGACAATTAATTTCTTGTCTTTATGTCAGACTCGAGACTTCAGTTGTCGTCGCAATCGACGGTCAGACCATTGATCGTGAGGTTTGAGCCAATGGTGGCCCAGAATGGCTGCGATAAGACAAACCCCAAGAATAAGATAACGATTATTAAGCCGAAGGCTATGGGAAAGCAGCGAAAGGCGACCACAACTGAGCCGTCGATTGAGGCGAAGGCAGTGATGGCCAGAATGAGAACAGTTGACAGACAAGTGAAGTCCAAATCAGGCAAAGAACTGGTTGTTAGGCAGCAAATGGAGAGTCATCTGAACGGCAGTACCCTATCATCGCTGGGATCGGTGCCTAAAGTGCCGATTCATCGATCGCTTCATCATTTTCGTCATAAAAAGTCTCACAAAACTCATGAAAGAGTTCAGACGAAAGAGTTGTCACAACAGGTGTCGACCCATACGACGACTGCAACACTATTACAGCAATCCGTGGATTGTGTTTGCGTTGAATGCAAGACAGTGTTGGCCTCCAAACAGGCCCTTCACGAACACATACTGAGCCAACACTCGGCCGGTCTCACGAAAATGCAACAAACGGTGGTCACAGAGGAGCTACCGGTGCCGCTGTTCCGGTGCCAGTGGCAGGACTGCACACTCGACTTCGACTCGATGGAGACCTTTCGACAGCACGTGGACTCACACGTACA